CCTTGGTGGTGCTCCAGCAGGGCCTGCTGGTACAGGAAAAACCGAGACAGTCAAGGATCTGGCCAAAGCACTGGGATTACTGTGTGTTGTTACTAACTGTGGAGAAGGCATGGACTACAAGGTGCGTGACAGGCAAACAGAAATTGCGTGACACATTGTGACAGCAGGTTTAACGGTTTTAGAGAAGATGGCACATTCTTCGGGTTAGCCTTGTGACCGGAAGTTTCTGCGTGTCAGTTTTCGGGCTCACTTTTGGTGGGGGGCTTTTATTGGAAATTTTCAACACCTGTCTATTCAATAATACAAGAATCTTTTTTTTTCACTTGTTTTATGTATCCTTCGCGTATGTATGTACACCTATTTGCAATAGAATAGAATAGAATAGAATAGAAAGCCTTTATTTTAAAACGATAAGTTTTAAAGCTAACAGCTTGCGGGGTCGTGTATAAAATAAAAGAAAGACCTAATAGCAATGTAATAATAAGTAATACTTGTCTTGATCAGCCATTGATAGTTTTACTTTTGCTTGTCTCCAGTCCATCGGCAAGATTTTCTCTGGCTTGGCACAGTGTGGAGCCTGGGGCTGCTTTGACGAGTTTAACCGTATTGATGTATCTGTGTTGTCGGTTATCTCCACTCAAATCAAAACGCTACAAAACTCAATCAGTAACCATCTCAAGAGGCTACAGGTGAGCTTGGGATCACGTTATCGTAATGATTGTTAAGCATTCTCATTTTAAATTCGACATAACATAAACTGCCGCTTATTAGCCCTAGTTCGTAAGGGGCTTTTAGATGGGCTTATAAACGGAGGGGCTTATATCCGAGGGGGCTTATAACCGGAATAAAAAACTGTTTCAAAACGAGCTCTAGCTGCGCATGCTCATCGCAATAGGTTTTTCATTTACTGGTAAGTAAGCTTTAAATCATCATCATAAAACAAATTCGAAACAAGGAAAGCTAGAAGGGAACTTATATCGAGGGGGGNAAAACAAAGAAAGATAGAGGGGGGCTTGTTCCGGGAGGGGGCTTACAACCAGATGTATATTTTTGGTTTACAGAAGACGGGCCTGTAGCTGTAGGGGCTTATAAGCGGAGGGGCTTATAAACGGAGGGGCTTATAACCGGAATAAAAAACTGTTTCAAAACGAGCTCTAGCTGTGTTGATCGAAATACGTTTTTTATATACTGTTTTTTAAGTAAGCTTTAAAACATCATAATAAAACAAATTCAAAACAAGGAAAGCTAGAAGGGAACTTATATCGAGGGGGGAGGGGGGGCTTATAACCGGATGTATTATTTGGTTTACAGGTAGATGGGTGTATAACCGGAGGGGCTTGTAAGCGGCAGCTTACGGTACTTTAGCTTACCACGTGAACGTTTAGATTATGAGACCTGCCTTTTGATTCCCTTTATCCATTAAAAGTAAAACTGCTGGGTGACTGAAACTAGACAAGTACATTAGCTAATTTGTTCTCATTTTTGCTTACCAGTTTGAAGGCACTGAGATAGCATTGGACGGTCGCATGGGAATCTTTGTCACCATGAATCCTGGCTATGCTGGTCGTACTGAGCTTCCGGAGAGCGTCAAAGCTTTGTTTAGACCCGTGATGTGTATTGTACCTGATCTGCAACAGATCTGTGAGATCATGCTTTTCTCAGAAGGATTCTTACTGGCTAAGGTAAAGGGCGCAATGGTACTTTATAGAAAGTAAGAATGTTGAGTCAACTACTAGAGAAGGAAACTGCAAAGCAAACCGATTGTGGTGATGACTGTATATGGATTTATCTATGCCTTAAGGCGGAACTCCAGGGCCGGGTTGTTCAAAGCGCGATTAAGCTAACCCAGGATAAGCGAGAATTTTGACTTAAGTTTCGTAACTTTGCAGTGAGGTTTTCCGTTTATATTGTAAAGTTGACCGCTGACCAGGAACTGGTTTTCGATTGGATCGCAGGCTCGAGCCAGGTTAATTTATTGTAATAGGAGCTCCGCTTTTAGGCTTGGCTAAATCTATATATTATGAGCTTGAGAGGGCATAGTGTAATGAGGAGAACGTTGTAAACGTATTCTTTTTATGCAGGTCCTTGCCAAGAAGATGACAGTACTGTATAAGCTGGCGTCAGGGCAGCTCTCCAAGCAATCTCATTACGACTTTGGACTTCGTGCATTGAAGGCCGTGCTTGTGATGGCAGGAGAGCTTAAGAGAGGCTCTCCTGATCTTAGCGAGGTCAGTTTAAACACAGTTATTTAAGAAGGCGGTGTTTGTTTGGCGTTTTGTGGGTTCTACAGATAAAACTTACAGTATTGAGCAGAACTACTTGAGACAACTAGCAACAACGCAGATTTGGCATATCCCCCCACATTACGAGTTCGGTGTGTGTGCAATACAGTGTAAGGTTGCCAAGATATGGATCGTTTCTTCAGTGCAAAACAACGTTGACGAGGAAGGTGAAAAATAGACTAATTCATGTAATGCTTTCAATTCTCAATTAAGTGGTTTATCAACAGTTGATATACCGTACATTTTAAAGCTCTACCAGCGATTGTGATCTAATGTTTAAAGAACGAAAGTTAACCTTGTCTTTTGCTTAAAATGTTATTATTTTTTTTAATGCCTATCGTTATCTCTCCAGGATGTAGTACTGATGCGTGCATTGCGTGATATGAACCTGCCAAAGTTCGTGTTTGAAGACGTACCACTCTTCCTCGGCCTCATTGCTGACTTGTTTCCAGGCCTTGATTGTCCAAGAGTGCGCTACCCGAACTTTAACGACGCTGTGGAAGCCGTTTTACAAGACAACAAATATGTGCTACTTCCACATCAGGTGCAAAAATGTTCTTTATGTTGTTTCCCTTG